ATAATGCTTTCCATGCCTGAGGAAAGCCGACTTGGCGGTTTTCTATACTTGAAGAAAAATCCACCAATAATGCTTTCCAAGCCTGAGGAAAGCCGACTTGGCGGTTTTCTATACTTGAAGAAAAATCCACCGATAGCGCTCTCCAAGCCTGAGGAAAGCCGACGATTGCTGAAATTGGTAAGTGTATGATGGTTCGATTATCCCCGAACGTGGGCCGCATATGATTCACAATTTTAAGCCGATTATCCGACCATATTAAATGCTTAAAATGCCGAAAAATAGACTTTGACGCTTGCTAGGGGTAAAATGGTAATTTTAGTCCCCCTTAAATATCAGTTGGAATTTTCTGCGTAATTCTAGCGAAAAATAACCGCTCAATAATCTCGAAAAAATCAGTTAAACTAGTCAAAAAGGCCAGGAATATTCCCTGACCAAGTGCAGAATTGTCGCGCCACGTTAAATACTTCCCGTGACACGGGAATGACTCCCGTCAGAAGGGATAGAATCCCGTGTCACGGGAACTTTTTCCCCCCTTTTTTTTTATTTTGCTGTTTGAATTGGTCAACGCGCCACATCAAATTGTGCCGTTACAAAATAACGGTAACCGTGGCACAGTTAACGGGGTCCGTTGCACTGTTACTTTTTGTTTTAAAATCACATTTTTGCTTCACATCTTCGCCATTTCTCATCTCCTCTATATTTCTCCATTTTCACTTCTTGCTTACAAAAATTGTCGTGCAACGTTTAAGGTAAACCGCCGGCCGTCGAAGCTCACCGTGACACGGTCATCGGCAACCGTGACACGGCGGTTCTGCAGATCTATTTTTTTTCTTTTTTTTTTTTATTTTTGCTGCGATTTGTTGCTGCTATTGTTCGCTGTTGCTGTTTCTGTCTCCGCCGGAGCTGACGTCTAAACCACAAGAGCTCCGTCGCCTGTGAAGCTCGCCGTCACACGGGACACCCTTGCCGTGTCACGGATTTTGTTGACCGTGTCGCGGCGGTCCTGCTGGTAGCCGGAAGTGCCCCGCTCATCAGAAATCCTAAAAACGTATCCCTAAAAACCCTAAAAACGTATCCCGTGACACTGTCAGACTGTACCGTCAGACGGTACACTTTCCCGTGACACGGTACAGTTTTGGAGTGACACGGGAAATTTTCAGAAAACGGGATGAAAAACGCGTTAAGGGTTTACGCGGAAAGGACACGAAACGTTCCGTGTCACGGCAGACCTCCCGTGTCACGAGAAGTCCCACCGTCAGACGGGAAAGAGTCCCGCGACACGGTGGCAGTCTGCCGTGGCGCGGGAACTTTCAGTCCATTTTTCCGTCTAAATTCATTTTTAACCCTAATTTCTTTCGGCTTTTCAAGTGCCGATTGATAATTTCGGGCTTTTTTATGACTTTATTATTCGGGCTAAAATAAGAAAATAATTAAATAAAAATAAATAAAAGGTTTAGACCAAAAATAAACAATAAAATAAAAAAGGTTTGGGCTAAAAATTAATTAATAAGTTTGGGCTGAAACTAAAACTATGCTTTTACCAAACATCAAGACTAATCCATGGACCGTTCAAAAATATGAATTTAATAAAATACGATTTTTTAAGCACTCTCGGGATTAAATACTAAACCCGACCAATAGTAGCGGTGAAAGGTTATTTATCATCGGGTTTGGTTTTGGGGAGACATTTTTAGGTGTCTACAGCAGGCATCATCAAACCCTGTCAGTATCCAGAATGGCTGGCCAATGTGGTGATGATTTAGAAGGCAAATGGCACCTGGAGAATGTGAGTTGACTTCACGGACCTAAATAAGGCATGTTCGAAGGATTTTTATCCCTTGCCAAGGATCGATCAGCTAGTCGATTCGACAAGCGGTCATGCTTTACTTAGTTTCATCGACGCATTTTCTGGGTATCATTAGATCTTCATGCACCCCGACGACCGAGCAAAGACTGCATTCGTCACGAATGTCGGGGTGTACAATTACAAAATGATGCCCTTCAGATTGAAAAATGCGGGGGCAACATATCAAAGGCTGGTGGACCAAGTTTTCGCCGATCAGAAAGGCCAAAACATGGAAGTCTATGTCGACGATTCCATCGTCAAAAGCAAAAAAGACGAAGACCATGTTAAGGACCTTGCGGAAACTTTCGCTACTCTAAGAAAGCACCAGATGAAGCTGAATCCGAAGAAGTGTGTCTTCGGCGTGAAGTTAGGGAAATTCCTTGGGTTCATGGTCATCAAAAGAGGGATTGATGCCAATCCCGCCAAGGTGCAGACAGCACTCGATCTTCCCGAGCCGAAAACAAAAAGGGACGTTCAGCGGCTCACCGGAAGAATGGCTGCCCTCTCGAGGTTCATTTCCAGGGCCTCGGATAAGGGGTTACCTTTCTTCAAAGCCCTGAAACTCCCGAAAACAAAAGAGCTCGTTTGGGAGGATGAGCAAAGAGAAGCCTTCAAGCAGCTTTGGGAGCATCTAGCTCAGCTTCCAACACTGGCTAGCCCAGTAGAGGGAGAGTCCCTGTACTTATACGTGGCTATCAGCCCAGCCACCATCAGTGCAGTGCTGTTGAGGGAAGAAAATAAAATTCAGCAACTGATCTACTTCGTCAGCCACACTCTGACGGATGCCGAGACCCGCTACCCCTTACTCGAAAAAGTTGCTTATGCAATGGTGGTAGCTGCTCGGAAGTTAAGACCCTATTTTGATTGTCATCAAATAGTGGTCTTGACTGATCAGCCGCTGGAAAAGGTTCTCGGCAAAGTTGAAAAATCTGGTAGGCAGGCCAAATAGGCTTTCGAGCTCACAGAATTCAGCATCAGCTACAAGCCGAGAGCGTCCTTAAAGGCTCAAGCTCTGGCGGACTTCCTGGCCGAATGCTCGTACCAGGAAACGCTAGACGATGAAAAGAAAACCTGGACCGTTTTCACGGATGGATCCTCCACCGTGAATGGTTCGGGGGCAGGAGTGGTTATAACCTCTCCTGAAGGCAAGTCCTTCGAGTACGCACTAAAATTTTCATTCAAAGCTTCGAACAACGAAGCCAGATATGAGGCGGCCATTGCCGGCCTAGAATTGTGCATCTCGCTAGAAGCCGAGCATGTTTGTTTGAAGACAGACTCTCATTTAGTTCCATATCAGATTGGTGGCAGTTACGAGGCCAAGGAGCCCTCGATGATATCCTATCTTGCCAAGATCAAATCAGTTATTGCAAAGCTGAGAACTTTTGAAGTTCAGCTGATCCCAAGGGGTCAGAATGCACAAGCCGACGCACTCTCCAAACTTGCTAGTTCAACTCTTACTGAGCTGAACCGATCCGTTTATGTGGAGGTGCGCCGAGAAAGAAGTGTTGATGAAGCACCTGAAGTGTGCTGCGCTGACCAAGAGCCAAGCTGGATGGATCCCATCTTAGCTTTCAAGCTTCGAGGAGAAATTCCCGAAGACAAAATTTTGGCCTCCAAGTTGAAGCAAACCGATTCAAGGTTCATTGTCTTCAAGGGGGAACCGCTGAAGAAACCCTTCTCAGCCCCGTTGTTGAAATGCGTGGGGCCGACAAATGCAGATTATATCCATTGGGAAATCCACCTCAGCATCTGTGGGAACCACATTGGGGGAAGGACCCTAGCCCATAAAGCACTGAGGGCAGGGTACTATTGGCCTACCATGATCTCAGACGCTAAGGAGCTGGTCAGAAAATGCGAAAAATGTCAAAAATTTGCACCAGTCATCCATCAGCCAGCCCAGGAGCTTCAGCCCGTGCTGAGCACGCTTCCATTTGCCCAATGGGGGTTGGATATCCTGGGCCCATTTCCGGATTCCGCATACCAGAAAAAGTGGCTGATAGTCGGTGTTGACTATTTTAGTAAATGGGTTGAGGCCGAATCAGCCTCAAACATTACAGAGCAAACTGTCAGGAAATTTATCTGGCAGAATATCATCACTCATTTCGACATCCCGAAAGTATTTGTCTTTGATCATGGAAGGCGATTTGATAATCTGCCGCTGAAGCGGTATACAGATCAGTTCGGCATCAAACTGGCATATTCAGCGATATGCCACCCGCAATTAATGGACAAGCCGAAGCTGCAAATAAGCAGATTCTGAATGCCCTCAAAAAAAGGGTGGAGGATCAAAAGTCCAAGTAGCTAGAGGAGCTCCCAGGAACTCTCTGGTCCCTTCGGACAACTAAAAAAGAAGCAACGGGCCATTCATCATTTGAATTGGTGTATGGCGCCGAAGCCGTTCTCCTAGTGGAAATTGGCTCTGAAAGCTTGCGAGTGCACCACTTCTCGGCCGAGAATGAGCAACTTATGAAGGAATCTCGCGATTTCCTCGATGAAGTAAGAGACTCAGCCCGAGTCAGATTGGCTGCGTACAAGCAGAGAATCAGAAAATTGTACAACCGAAGAGTTCAGGCAAGGCCTCTAAAAATTGGAGACCTCGTCCTTCGGAATGCTGCTGCGGTCCAGAAAAGTCGAATTCATGGGAAGCTCTCAGCTGCTTGGGAGGGACCCTATGAAATCTATGATGAGCTTCAGCCGGGAACATACCGACTTCGGAAGTTGGATGGAACCGAGCTGAAAAATCATTGGAATGCGGATGTACTTAAGAAATATCATGTGTAAACCCTTCGGGGCAGAACAATCCTTGTAAGTACATTTTGAATTATTAATGAAAGGCCTCCGAGCCACTATTTTCTACAAACATTTGCAACCTTTACTCTTTCATTTATTCTTTATTTATCTACTCTTCAAGGTTTCCTTTGGCCTTGTCCGAAACCTTCGCCCTCAGAGCATCAGGTTTCGGATTGCCGATAAACTCGCCTTTTTAAAGAACACCGGTCTTTCAGCTGAGGCAAAAACCTCAGTAAGACTTGTTCTGTAAGGCAATGAGTCCATGGACAAATCTAGGATATTGCCTTAACTGAGCCCTGTATCCCAGAAAGCCATTATTTGAAACACTGCCTTCAGCTGGCCCCGTGTTTGAAATATCCATTTTTCAGATAGACAGAAAATCAAGAGCAATAGCATACCTGATAGAAAATAAACAAGGAAAAGAAAAATGATCTCAGAAATCTGAAGATCGAATCTTCAAATCTCTAGGGGGGGGGCAAAAGGCACCACAAGTGCAGACTGCCTCAATTGAGACCTCGAAGCCAAAGCTTTGTACTTAGCAATTTACAAAAAAAAAATGGACTCTCGTTCAAAGCAATTCAAATATGCAAGTTCATTGAAAGACAATAAGAGGAAAATGTCAGATTCATAAAATGGAAATCATGCTCGGATTACGAGCTACAAGCATAAAAATGTCTTAATCATGAGAAATAAAATATCGGCAGCCGCCCACAAGCGGAAAATAACAGCTGCCGAAATGCGTACAAAGAAAAAAAGTAAACTGTTTGTACATCAAGGCAAGCTGAAGCAAAAAACAAGGCAAAAAGAGATATTCAGAAAGCGACAAGTTTAAAGTTAAGCACATGTCGATCCGCAAGATTCTGAAGACGACTGCCCGATTTCCTATGCTTCAGCCGGAGGGTCAGGATGGTCAGCAGTGCCTGGTCCCTAGCAGTCTCAGTTCTAGAGGCAGAGGAGGCAGGTTGAGCTCTCATTTGGGCATTAGCGGCTCTCTGTTCAGCCTCCAGCTCCCTCCGTTCGGCTTCCTCCTTGGCTGCTTCAGCCTTTAGAATTTCGAACTCAACAGGAGTGGGGTACTTCACATGTAGATCTTCGGGATCCTGAACCCAGAGCGCGCACTTAGCCCAATCCAGCGAGGGCTCAGCATGGAGAGCCAGCCTCCGGGCCACCCTAAACCCATTCGTATAACCCATCTCATACTCTTCTTGGGTGTAGAGACGAACCCGGAGCAGGGCTTCAGCATCATCCAGCTTCTTTTGACTCTCCTCCAAATCTTTTTTAGATTTTTCTAATTCTTCAGAGAGTTTGGAGGAAGAAGTCTTCTGCTCATCAAGTTCCGATTGGACCTTTAAAGTTTCGGCCTTGGCTCGGGTCAGATCATCCTCCTTAGCCTTCAGCTGATCCTCCAGACCTTTCAGCTTCTGGTCCTGATCCTTAGCAGCAGCTTGAGCAACGGACAGTTGAGTTTCCCTGGCCTGATGAGCTTCTTCAATAGCCATCCTGCTAGATTCAAGGGCCTCCAACCTCTGTTCCACCTCCTGGACCTGCCCAACTGCTCCGACAGCCACTCAGCGTGAAATGGCTGCCCTGAAGCTAGGAATGTCGAAGGCCCCAAGCTCGTTTATGACTTTCTCCCCGGCCATTAGAGCGGGTAAAACTTCAGTCTCCATGGCGTGGCAGAAGGTCTGAAGAGATTGGTCAGCCTGCTTCTCATACTCTTCGGCAGCGGCTTGTTTCTCTTCAGCAGCCTGCTGCTTCAGCGCCGCCAACTTTGCCTCTTCCTGGGCGATCTTGGTGTCTTCCCAAGCATGCTCCAGCTTGTCCTGGAGGGTGTCTATCAGCTCTACAATGAGAGTCTGATTGTGCACAACCTGATTACAGGAGCACGTCAGTAAAAAATACACACAAAAAGAAACAACTCTGAACTGAAGAGCTGAATTAAGGGAGGAGAAAAACAAATGGCTAAGTACCTGCATCAGCAGCCGCTGATTGTCTCTGGCGAGGTCAGGGACCCTTCGGCTGGACTCACCCATTCCAGCAATGGCCTTCAGCGACCACTCCCTAGCTCGGTCTACCTCGGACATACCAGTAAGGTCACCGAAGTAGCCCACAGCTCCTTCTCGGTTCTGGCCCCAAATACGTTCCCAAACTGGTTCGAGGATTGTGATGTGGGGGGCGGAGAAACCCATGTCTCCAGAATTCAGCGTCTGGAATGAAGGAAAGGAAGACGAGGGAACCTCTTGAGCCTTATCCGGTTCATCATTCTTTTCCCCTTCGGTGGAACCCAGCTGGCCTTTGCCTAGGTCAACGACGGTGACCTCCTCTTCCTCCCCTAGCTCGGGTTGACGGATCAAGGCGTCAACCTCCCTCTCAATATTGCCGGAGAAACCTTCAGCAGGGGGTTCCTCAGCAGCTTCAGCAGAGTGCCACACATCACTCCCTTGATTCGGATCTTCTCCTTGAACCCCTGCTTTGGGATCAGGAGTTCTCTGGTCCACCTCCATTTCTTGAGTTTCAGGAGGTGGAGGAGGGGTTCGAGGAGGCGGGTTTTCTGACGGAGGGGGAGCCCTCGACGAGCCTCTGCCTTCATCAGGCTCCCTTATATGAATGCCTCCAGTAGATATCAGCCCCGTCTGAAACTGACGAGGACCCAGCACTGCTATTCTCCTCCTCCTCTTGGCTGACGGATGTTCGTTCATTTCTTCATATTCAGATGAAGGCGAATCTTCAGGATGGGCAGGCGTCTTCCCTTCTCTCCTCCCGCTTCCTTCCTCAGACTGCAGAAATGGGGGGGCAGTAAAGGCTTGAGTAAAAAAAAAACAACAAAAACGAAACGAAGGCTAAGGAGCTCACTAAAACCCTCGGCTGAGCTTCGGCAGTATAAGTAACCTGCTCGGCAGCACCAGACGTTCCTTCACCTCCTTCCAAGGAATTAATTGCCCTAGTCACGTCTTCGGCTGTCTGAGCAGCCTGCGCTTCTTCGGGTAATAGGGGCCGCAAAGGTTCCCGTTTCTCCCACCAAGGCTTCTGGAGTAATAATCTACAGCAGCCTCTATCTGAAGGCCCGTCGAATGTAAATGCAGTGGACGCTCCTTTGGAGTAGTGATCTCCGGAGCTCGGTCTAAGATGACCCTTTCAGCGTTCACCCCCAGCCGATTGTAGTCGATACCCGAGGTGGCCTCGCTCAGCTCTGAAAGGGAGAAACGAAGGTTAGACTAAGGGAATGAACATCAAAAGTAAGCAATAAGAAAATAAATAATACAAGTCCTCGGCCCCAGCCGAAGATACTTACCGCCTCTGTGCTTTCGGTTGAGGCCTACAACCGCCAACATCTTCTCTTGGAAGACGTAATGGTTATCCGGAAGCCATCTCGTTGGGATGAACTTCATTCGGTCGGTTCCCCCAGGATTTTCCTACTTCCCGAAGAAACTCATCTGCTCGTAGTTGGGATGACGAGCGGCATCAGGGTCTTCAGGACCCAAATCCTGCATGTTCAGATCGGGCCTAGAGAGATAACGGGGAGCCCCAAAAAAATGGGGGTGCTCCGGATCGGCAGGAACCCTTACCCAGATCCACTGGCCTCTCCAATCCTTATCCGAAGAATCGTTCATCCACATAGTCAAATATTGTGGGTGGCTCTCAATTCGCCACCAGCCAGGCCCGTGATGACCATATATGCTCTGGGTGTTCTGCACCAGCTTGTGCATCTTTCGGAAACAGTGCAAGTTCGGTTCAACGGCAAAAAATCAACATACCCAGAGATAGGTCATCACCCGTCGAATGCTGACAGGCGTTAACTGGCACAGGGAAATCCGGTACTTGATCAGAATATCCCTGACGAAGGGATCTAGAGGGAACCAAATCCCATACTGCAGCTGTCGAGTGTACACCCCCACGTACCCAGGGGGTGGGCGATGAATTCTATCGGTCGGCGCAGGCATTCGGCACCAATACCCATCCTCCTCAAAAAATGTCGTAGTGCAACTCTACTTGTTCGGCAAACCGATAGGCTTCAGCATGCCTAACCCACCAGGAGTAAGGGGCATTTTTTATCATAGCCCGCTAGGCTTTGGCGTTTTGCCACTCAACATGCCCAGGGAGCAAGTTCCAGAGCACAGCGGGCAAATCCTCTACCTGCTCTGCGTCATCAGCCCCGGCATCTTGCTATGGTGTCGCGGCGTTAAGAGGAACGACCGGAATACCCCTTTCCGGGTCTTCCTCGACTCGTTCCCCGTTCCAGACATCAGCACAGTCCCTGGGGTCCCTATCCTGACCCCGCCGCCCAGGTTGACGTCCTCTTCCTCGAGCCATAGTTTAATTCGAAGGGAAAAAGTTGGGAAAAGGGAAATTCTTTCAAAAATTTAAGAAAATCAAGGGAAATTCGAAGAATTTTACCTTTAAAGGGGTCGAAATGTGCCGATTAAGTCAGTCGGAGCAACGGATTCAAATGCCAACCTTTGGTTTTAGGGTATCGAGCGAAGTCTTCGAAGCGGAATATGACGTTTTTGTGGAATTTCGAGTGTGAATTGGTGAAGAAATGAGGAGAGAGCGAACAAATTCGGCCTTATATTTCCAGAAAAAGGAATTTTGAAGGTCGAATTGTTTAATCCCTCTTAAATACCTCCTTAAGTAACCGTTAAACACACTTCCTTCCAGTTAATTGCCCATTATCCGTTCAACTTCCCACTAATTATCCTAATTACAGTTATTTCGTTAATGACTGTTTAAAATTTAAATCTTTTGATTTAATTAAATCATTTACTTCCCTCCATTTTTATTGAATTCAAACTCGACCCGTCATCCCTCCAAATCGGGTCTGGGGGGCAAGTTGTTTGGGGTCCTATTAAGCCTAATTGGACCCAGTCATAAAATGATTTAATCCAAGGTCAAGGCCCAAGCCTCCATTTTGCCAAGTCAACATAAAGTCAAGCGGCTCAAATACTCATGGTCAGCCCATGATGAGGTCCGGCCCACCTCCTCTCCTTGCCAAGCTAAGGTATAAAAGCCTTCAATTACATCATTTATCACATATTCACATTCAAGCCTCAAGCATTAACTCTCTTGCATAGCGCTCTCTCTCTAAACACCATTTGACTTCGACATCGGAGGGGCTTTCCTCGGAACCACCGTACCCCCGAGGCCAGTTTACGTGTGTTTGCTGTGTAGGAAACCTTCGTCCCAACACCATTTGAATCGGATTAGTTTTCATCCACTTCATTGGACCTTCAGCAAGGTCCTATTACTTTCACCCGAAACACGGAGTACTCCGTACCAAATACAATTTAATCATCGCAGAGACATATTTCACATATACAAAAAAGAATGTAGCCTATACTTCATGCCTAACTTATAGCCTTATGCCCTTATTCATAATATGTTGTATTATTGTGTCAATCGTTATATCTTAAACTTTTGATTGAACAATAACAATAGGCTTGGGAAATCTAGCTACATACTTAAATACCCTTTTACAGAAAATTAAGCAATATGATGGAACATATTACATACTTCTATATGATTATATGCATTATTAAGCTAGGCTAAATGTTACTTGTTTACCATTACTCTTTTTTCATTTGTTAGAACGCATTTTATATATTGCATATAAAAAAGGAAAAATTGCCCAGAATAATCCCACCTTTGGGTCGTCCGCCCAAAATAATCCCACCTTTTGATTATTTTTAAATAATCCGACCTTTATACCAGATCCGCTCTAAATGGTCCCGAGTGACTAGTCACCGGTTGAAGAGGTAACTTTTTTTTTATTAAATTTAATTTACACATGTCACAAGTTGATTTGTCCAAAATAAAAAAATTAAAAAAAAAAATCAAAGTTTCAGCCACCAGTCACCACCATCGCCGCCACCACCCAAACCCAGAACCACCACTGCCACGAAAAAAACCCAGGAACCACCGCCACGGTGCCACCAAACCAGACCTGAAACCGAATCCTGGAACCACCGCCACCGAACAAGACCCCAACCAAGCCAACCCCCAAAACCCCCTTCGAAAATTCAAAAACCCGACAAACTAGAACCTGGTAGTTCGACGTGGCTGGACAAATCAAGAACCTGGTAGTTCGACGGGGGAGATCGACGCAACTAGAATCTGGGGATGGGGGAGGTCGGCGCGCCGGAGCTAGGTTTAAGGGAGGTCGACGACGCGGCTAGAAATTGTGGTGGCTCGCCTGGGTTTTCGCGAAGGAGTAAAGGAGAGGGTTGGTGGTTCGGGGGAGGGGGAGGGGGAGGGGTCGCGCGCCTGAGTTGGGTTTAATGGCTGGCCGGAGTCGCGTGGCTGGCCGGAGCCGCGTGAATGGGGTTGGCCGGTTTGGGGGTTGGCTTGGGTGGTGGATGGTTTTTGAATATTGATTTTTTATTTTATTTTTTAAAAAAAGATTTATTTTATTTTATTTTATTTTTTATTTTTATTTTTTTTTTTGACCAATTAGGCTGCCACGTGTATGGTAACTTGTTATAACAAGTTAAATGACCGGTTGGGA